GCCACTCGGCCCTCGCCGTTTTTTCCCCTTCCCCCCTCGTTGTTCTTTCCCCGCCCCCCCAAGCGGCGTCGGACTTCGCAGAGCGTTCCCTGCACATGCTCAGGGGACGCTCTGCCAGTTTCGGGGGGATTTAAACATCCCCCCGATTTTTTTTCAGGGTTTCTGATTTTTGTGCAGACGTGGGGACTGCCCCACGTATGCCCAAAACTCTCCCCCCCCTGGTGCCCCCGGTGTGTGGATTTAGCTATCCACACACCAGGGGGCACTTCGGTATTAGAATATAGATTGGAAGTGTGTGTGCGTGTTTTTGGCAGGGCTTCTCTGCCTCTTATATACGAATACCAGCTGCAGTTGGTAAAAAGGCTCCACAGTACATGCCCTTATTGTCCCTTTTTCTTGTTTGGAGTCTGCCATGTGGGTGATTTTTGACCCTGAAAAACAGCCCCACTGCTTGCTGCACCACCTTGAGTTTGTGTGGCTACTTTTTAAAATAACCTGATTGTTCTGCGATGGGCCTCGGTGTATTCGTGATGGAAGTGACCGGAATGCAAATAGATCCTTCGTAATAATAGAGATAAGCTGTTGTCTGACAGAGCGTTCCCACAAAAGTTGCAGGTTAAATGGCATTCAAAAAGAGGCTGACTTAGTCAAATAGCTGTCCACAAATGCCGGCGGCAGCCTACTGCTGAAGGCCAAAGGCAATTTTCAGCGGAACAGGTGCCTGGTTAAGTGTGAGGGTTTGCAGAAAAAGAAAGCTACGCAGCAGGCTGGGCTTCACTATGTCTGAAGTTTAGAACTCAGTGATCAAGAGCAATAAAGACTTTGCTAATGATATCAAACTGACATGTGATGTTCAGCCTTCACCCCTGTTCTTAGCTGCTCCTGCCTTTCCCGTCTCCTCTCCCTTGCATGTGAAGTTCCTTTCAGCTCCTACTGTGGCCCAACTTGCCATTCCTTGCTGAATGCCAAGATTTTGCAGTATCCAGATCTCTCCCCTGACAGCTGTCTTTGCCACCAGGCTCTTTTCTGAACCTTCCCCTTTACCCTTTGGACTGCTTCCTTGCTTAGCTTAGCTTGTCCTCTTTCCTGCCAACAGTGACTAGTTTCACTCACCTTCAGGCCCTGAATGTTCACGCTCTCATCCCAAATGACCTTTGCTACCCTCACGGAAGTTGCATTGTTTTATCAGCATCCTGCAGAAGGTGGGTTGCTCGTGAACTCTTTGAGAGATTGCAGTATTTTGTAAATTCACATGTCTTAACAAAGCCTCAGCAGAGTGCCTGATCCTTTCCAGGGTTAAAGGGGTGGTGGGAGTGATCTGACCTGACTGGGGAGGCTGGTACTTTTTGGATGTGACTTTAGCATGAGGAAGTACTTATGCCCATCTTCCAGAGGGCTTCAGCACCATTCCAGTAGCCACTGGGGATCTGTGGCAATGGTTGGGGACCCTCTGTATCCAGAAGGGTCTTCCTCAAAGCCAGCCACTCCATGTGTTATCTCCACTCCATGTGTTATCTTCCCCATTTTATCTTTGCGGTAACCTTGTGAGGTAGGCTAGGCTGAGAGAGAGAACAATTATCTAAGTCCACCAGTAAAATATGATGAGCCAGAGTTTGGATTTGATATTCTCCCTGGCTTAGTCCAACACTAACCTCTGAGATAAGAGGCATCTAGCCCCATAGAGGCTCTTTCATAACCTTTGGAGTTCATAGTGCAGAACTGGCTGATACATTTATCTTGGATGTCTTGACAATAGAAGCTTTAACAAAACGGATATTTTGTTATATTTCCAAGTAAAAGCAATTCTGCTGATAAGCTGACTTCTGCAGGGCTAAGAGCAATTTGTACTGCCTGGTTTCTATTCCACCTCCACAATTGCTGCCTGTGTTCTAACACATGCAGCTATTTATAAGAGGCTTGGATTTCATCATGGCAAAACGGATAAGCCTTCCACAAATGCAAGACTGTTGGGGCGGCCACAAGTGGCTGGCTTGCTGCCATTTGTTCTGAGGAGCAGCTCGTGACTGCTGGCCGGTAGGGGCATGTCCCTGAGAGAATGGCTACCGTTCTTCCCTGGCAACAGTGTGTCAAACTCTGATTAGTTTGCCATGGTTGCAGGGGGAGGGAAATTCCCAGGGGGAGGTGAATAGCTGAGTGTGTGAACCGCACTATCAATAGGTGTCATAACTCTTCCTTAAGGCACCTCCCTCCTTGAGGGATGACCTTGAAACCAAAGCTGTGCCAGCTTGCTTTTGTAGATAACGGGATCGTATGTTCCCAGGTGGTGGTGGGGGAGTAGTAATGCAAGTGCTAGGCGGGATGGCTGCGAAGTGTGATTGGTTATTCTGGGGGGAGGCCCTTTTGAACTGTCCATCTCTGAATTTTCCCACCAGAACTTCAGTTCTGACACGGTACTGTACTAGCCTGGATCATGATGATATCTCAATAAACAAATCACTACCAAAGAGAGTGTTGTTGGGAGTCTCTTGTCCAGGAGCCTGACACAGTGGCACGTCTCCTGGTAAGCTCTCTCAAAGCCAAACTTCCAGTCTGGTGGACACTATCGTGGATGTGTGGAACTGCAGGCACAGGGTGAGGATACCCGAGAAACATGAATCATATGCAGAACGAGGTGCATCTGTGCTGAATGGCCAGAATGGTCACTTTAACGGTGTGCTGTAATGGGGTGGAGTGGGAGACTTATTTGTTTCATTTTTATTCTCCTCCTCCTCCTCCAGGGAGCTTGGGTCAGCAGCACACATGATTCTCTTCTTCCCCATTTTATCTTTGCGGTAACCTTGTGAGGTAGGCTAGGCTGAGAGAGAGAACAATTATCTAAGTCCACCAGTAAAATATGATGAGCCAGAGTTTGGATTTGATATTCTCCCTGGCTTAGTCCAACACTAACCTCTGTGATAAGAGGCATCTAGCCCCATATTAATTGGACTTGAGGCTTGCAAATCATGGAAACAGCTCCCTGGTTAATCAAACAAGAATGCCTTTGTTTGAATGATAGTAAATATGCATTCCTTGGGGGTTTTTTACTTCGTTGGGCTTAGAAGGGTGTAACTCTAACCAGGATTGTGCTGTTACGCCTGCTTCTGGCTGAGGTCGTGGCTTTTGGCTCTGGGCATCAGGGCACTGGTTGTAGAGACCTGATGCAAAATGCCTGGTCTCCAGGCAGACAGACTCAGAGGCATTGCACTGTATGGCTCAGCTCCTGATGAAAGGTGTCAGATTGTAAATTTGGCAGTAGTGGGAGGGCTTTTAGTGTCGTGGTTCCACTGCTGGACCTCCTGATGGCACCTGGTGTTTTTGGCCACTGTGTGACAGAGTGTTGGACTGGATGGGCCATTGGCCTGATCCCACATTGGCTTCTCTTATGTTCTTATGTAAATGCTCACCCATCTTTTGTGTTCACCTTGCAGCTCCTGGTGGGCTCATGTGGAAATGGGACCTCCTGACCCCATTCTGGGGGTGACAGAAGCTTTCAAGCGGGACACCAACAGTAAGAAGATGAACCTGGGAGTCGGGGCATACCGAGATGACAACGGGAAGCCCTATGTCTTGAACTGTGTCCACAAAGTAAGCAAAAGGAACCTGCTGCTGCTTCCTCATGCTGGTTTAGGGCTTGGCACATCTGAGCTCAGTTCCTGGCAGGATTGTTTTAGGCCGTTACTTTCTTGGCCTCTGTTCCCACATAAAATGGGACTCAGTAGCGGCCCATCTAGTAGGGGATCTGTTGATTTGTGAATGGTAGAGAGATCACAGGCCATCTGGTCTGTTACGTACTACTGTCAAAGGTACCCTGTGCTTTCAACATGGAGAAAAGTATTTCCAGGCATTCGTACATTGGATGGCAACAACTTTCTGGTTGCTTTTCACTCTTTTTAAGGGCTCTGAACCTGGTGCACTTAACTATGCTATGCCTAAGAGGAAAGTGTGGAGCTGGTAGTACTAGTCTCCGCTGCCACAGCCTGATCTCAGCCTTTAGACTGCCTTGCATAGTCATGGCTGTAAGTTCTTTGTATCTGCACAGAGAGGTTTTGTTGTGGGTCCCCCTCCCAGCACTAAAGAAAAGGTTGAAACGGGCGAGGCTTTAGCAGCTGAAATTGGATTGGCAGAATGGCTAACTAATCCTCTGGTTATTAGCCTAGACAAACAGCAAACCAGCGCCAGGAATTAGCCCAGGCACTACCACAACAGGGTTTTGACTATGTACTTGGTGGATCACAGTGCATAGATTAGGGGTGGAAGGGCGAGTGGGCAGTAACTAAATGAGTGGGCACTGCACTGGGTAGTTGCACGTAAATGGAAAAAGCTGTTATCTCACTGTGCAGATTGTAAGAGGAAAGAGCAAATGGAAGGGTCTAGTCTGAACTGCCAGGACTTCCTACTCTGAGTAGCTGAAGCTGGAGAAAACAGTGGGCTGGATCCAGACTAAGCTGGCAGTTCCACAGTTTCCCCCCATCTAATTTCTCAGGGTTCTCTGCTTATTTATTTAATTAAAATAATTAAATGAGGCTAATTTGGAAAGTCCAGCTGGAGCAAAATGCAGTGGCGTGCCTGCTGACTGTGATGTCTGTGCAGGTACACATCCAGCCGGTGCTCCTCCCATTGCACTGGCTACCAGTTGAGTACTGGATCTGTTTCAAGGTCCTGGTGTTGACCTTTAAAACCTTGTGTGGCCTGGAACAGACATGTCTACAGGACCGCCTCTCCCCATATGTGCCCTGGAGAGCCTTGTGCTCTGCGGATAGCCATCTGCTGGTTTTCCCCAGCCTGAAAGATGCCCGTCTAGCCTCAACCAGGGCCAAGGCTTTCTTGGTCCTGGCCCCAGCCTGACGGAACATACTCTCTATTGAGGTCAGGGCCTGGCGAGACCTGTTATAGTTTTGCAGGGCCTATAAAATGGTAAAAGGTGCAACAGACTCTATATTTCAGAATACTTGGGTACAGTTCTATAATTGGTATGATAAGTATATGTAGGCAAGTTAAGAATGGACAGAAATGAAATATATACTTAGATTGATAGATATAGATGGTTACTTACACAGGTTACAAGAATATTAGATTAAGGCAGTAATATAAATATCTGTTAAAAATGTAGACAACCCCAGTATATGTATGTGTGTAATGTGTGTATATGTCAGTATGTTAGTGTGTGTACTTTATGTGTGTGTGTGTGTTATATATTTGAAAAAACTTAATAAAAAAAAATGGACCCGTTCCTCCGGGTCTTTGGTTGAAGCAGTGGGCATCTACCGGCTGGCCTCCCTACTGCTGCTGCATAAGATCATTTTAGCTCGGTGTCGGCCCATTTATCTCCCGGCTGTAGAAACTGGAATTGAATGTACTGCGCTTCCCATTTTAAATGTTTTAAATTGGTTTTGTTGTATTATCTGATTGTATTATTTTAGAATTGTATCAGTTATTGCTGTAAGCCACCCTGAGTCCATTCGCAGCAAGGGCAGGATAGAAATTGAAATAATAAATAAATAGAGCATCAATTAAAAGAAGATTAAAAACCAACAGAGAAATGCAGATGGCACAAGAAAAGCCAGTATCTTACCAGGCCGGGGTGGGGTGGGGATGGGACGACGACGACATAAGAACATAAGAGACGCCAATGTTGGATCAGGCCAAAGGCCCATCCAGTCCAACACCCTGTGTCACACAGTGGCCAAAAATACCAGGTGCCATCAGGAGGTCCACCAGTGGGGCCAGGACATTAGAAACCCCCCCACGACCCCCCAAACACCAAGAAGTCAGAGCATCACTTGCCCCAGAGTCCCTATCTATACCTTGTGGCTAATAGCCACTGATGGACCTCTGCTCCATATACTTATCTAATTCCCTTTTGAAGCTGTCCATACTTGTAGCCGCCACAACTTCCTGTGGCAGTGAATTCCATGTGTTAATCACTCTTTGGGTGAAGAAGTACTTCCTTTTATCCGTTCTAACCTGACCACTCAGCAATTTCATGGAGTGCCCACGAGTTCTTATATTGTGAGAAAGGGAGAAAAGTACCTCTTTCTCTACCTGCTCTTTCCCATGCATAATCTTATAAACCTCAATCATGTCACCCCTCAGTCGTCGTTTCTCCCAGCTAAAGAGCCCCAAGTGCTTTAACCTTTCCTCATAGGGAGGATGGGAGTGCCAGGATGGAACTGTCACTGGAATGGATGGAGCAGTATTTTGTGGAGATCAGTGGGAGGCAGGAAAGTTCTATTCAGCTGATGGGAAGTTTAGTTTGGACCCAACTGGTGGCCACGAGCAGAGTGCAGCAGAGCAGTTCCTTTGGGGAGCCCCAGAGAATGGGTCTCAAGCAGTGTTCCCTCTAAGCTGAATTAGTGTGAGCTAGCTCACAGTTCTTTAGCCTCCGGCTCACAGATTTTTGTCTTAGCTCAAGAAGGATGGCTCCAGAGCAAACTAATTTATGCAGTAGCCAAATCACTCGCTCACAACTTTAATGCCAGCAGCTCACAAAGAGGAATTTTTGCTCACAAGACTCCACAGCTTAGAGGGAACATTGGTCTCAAGTGATGAGCAAGAGGGTGGTCAAGAAACGTTCTAGAATGCCTGAGCTGGACTTTGAACAGGTTCTGCTCCATTACCCAGTACCATGCACTTGAAAAGCCTGCAGATCCTTTCTGTGAAACAAAGCCAATCATTCACTCTACAGACCCCTCTCTCTCCCTCCCTCATTTGGAAAGCTAAACTAGGAGCGGTAAATCAGGTGGGCAGGAGCTGTTCTTCCTCTTAATGCACTGGGAATGCAAATGAGTTAACTAGGATGTGTATGTTTTTTGTCTAGGCAGAGGCCCAACTAGCTGCAAAGAACTTGGACAAGGAATACTTACCCATTGCGGGGCTGGCAGAGTTCAACAAGGCGTCTGCTGAGCTGGCTTTGGGAGACACAAATGAGGTTATTAAGAGCGGACGGGTAAGGAGCAGACTTCGAGACTTCAAAGCAAAATAATTCTGTATTCGAGCAAGAATTCCTACATATTCAGGGAGCTATTCTCCATTTAGTTGTATGCTCTGAAACCCTTGCCTGCTGCAGGAAAGGTGGAGGGAAGCCAGTTTGGTATAGTGGTTAAGAGTGTGAACTCTGATCTGGGAAAACTGGGTTTGATCCTCCACTCCTTCACATGCAGCTCCTGGTGTGACCCTGGGTCAGTCATAAGTTCTTTCAGAGCTGTTCTTTCAAGGGCAGTTCTCAAGAGAGCTCTCTCAGCCCCACCTACCTCACAGGGTGTCTGTTGTGGGATGGGGAAGGGGAAGGAGATTTTAAGCCGCTCTGAGACTCCTTCAAGTGGTGAAGGGCAGGGTATAAATCCATTCTCTTCTCTTCTTCCTCCTCCTCCACCACTACCACCACTGCAGGCCTTGCTGTTGCCCACTGCAAATAGAAATTGCCTCCTAGAACATCCCCAGTGCTGCCTGTAATGTCTGGCTTCTTGGAGCTGGAATAAACTTTAAATTAATCCTAATCAAGCCATTTCTTGCAGCAAGGAAGTTCAGAGTTACACACATGGTCCTAAAGAAAGCTTAGGCATTACTGACATGCCTTCTGCCCACCAGGGCTTCTGATTGGCCATTGATAACTGATTTACTACGTACATTACAATTACATTATTTTGGTAGTAGCCACCATTACAGTGTGTTGGTTTTTTCTCTTTCTCACGGCTCTCTCCCAGTATAATTTTTTTAAATTACCAAACTATTAGGCAGCTTCGTGTGTGTATACACCTGGTGTCCGTCCCCCCCCGCCCTACCACTGAATGATAACAATATGGTGTACTACTGGAATATTTATCTGTTTGGCCATATCATATACACTTTTTTTTTTGCCTTTTCAGTATGTCACTGTGCAGTCAATTTCTGGAACTGGATCTTTAAGAGTGGGTGCCAACTTCTTGGTGAGTGCTAACTTAATTCTGTCACAGAAAGACAGAGGGACCTTTTGGGGCACACGGTTTACATACAGCTAGTCCAGTGAATCTGCTGTGGTTTTGGGCCACTCAAATATGACTTCTCATTTTCTTGCTACAGCAACGATTCTTCAAATATAGTCGTGATGTCTACCTCCCTAAACCATCCTGGGGCAATCACACCCCCATCTTCCGGGATGCCGGGATGCAGCTCCAGAGTTATCGGTACTATGATCCCAAGACCTGCGGCTTTGACTTCAACGGAGCTGTGGAGGACATTTCTGTAGGTTCATGGGAAATTGCATGCAACTTGAATGCAGACATTTTGTAGAAGAGTTGTCTATAATGGGAGGCTTAAAATGGACATAGTCAAAAGAGTCTCAGTTCTTGGTCAAGTATGCCTTCAAACAAAGACGAAAATGGGTTATCTTAGCAAATAAGTTTTGAAAAAAACTGATCTAATTTAGAGGTCTTGAGCCTGGGTGGGGAGCTAGGGTTGCCAGCCCGCCAATCAGTTGGAGAAGATCCTTTAAATCTTGCAGGAGGGGAAGGAGAAGGGCAGCTGCTGGCCGCACGCGTGAACTCCAAGTGGCAAATTCACCACTTGAAGTTGAGGCGCAGGTGGCTCCCGCTTGCAAAAAACCATTTAAAGGTTTTTTTAATTTTTGTTTGCAAGTGGGGGCTGCCTGCATCTGAATTCCAAGTGACGAATTCACCGCTTGGAGTTCAGGCATAGCGGTTCCTGCTTGTGAAACACCATTGCGAGTGGGTGCCACTGGCACCTTCCAAGGGGCTGCATCCCCCGTGTGGGGAGGTCACTTCTGTGTGATGTCGTCATGTTGGGGACATCCCCTCCCCTTCCAGGAACACCCCCCAAAAGTCTGTGCTGGCAGCCAGGTAGGACATGGCAAACCTATGGGAAGCCCCACTGAAAAATGGCTCCCATGGGTGGTGGAGCCAAGCCCAGTACCTCCCTCCTTGCTTTGCAAAAGAGTTTCAGAGAAGGAATAAAAAGAAATGAAGGAAAGTGGGAGGGAGGGAAAGGGGACACACACAGACAGAAAGGAATAAACACCTGGGAGAGGAGAGGAGATGGGTGAATTAAAACCTGAAGGAGGAGTGGAACCACACACTGGACAAGGAAAGCCCAGGAGCTTACTGTCCCACCTGATCCTCCAGTGGTTGTTGCCACTATTGCAGCCATGGAAAACCCTTTTATTTGAATGAGGGCAGCCAATAAGAAGCCCTGCCTCACTGTGGCCCCACCCACTTTCTGCTCAGCAGGCACCAAGAGAGCACTGTCAGGAGCCTCTCATCTTACAATGGCAACTGTTGGCAGGCCATAGCAAAAATAAGGGGTTTTTTTCCTGATGACTTAAAAACCTATACACAAACTGCAGTGTACATGCCATATTTACAGATTTCTTCCCTACCTTTGTAACAGCTCTGGTTTCTGCAGGTTTCTGCAGCCAGCTGATAAATAATTTGGTCCCGTCAACAGCAAACAGAAATTCTATGCAAAAATATATTAATGAATATTTAAATCTTCAGTAATATGTGCTCTCAAATAAGACCCTCCTAAAGGATGAGGATGATGCTTTCCTTGCTGTTTATGGGATCTGATTCCAGAGGGTGAAGGACGACTGGAAAAGATTTTCAGATGCACTCAGAGGATCAAGCCTTAGTGAGGGGTGCTGCTAAAAGGGGTCTGGTGGGACTTGTGCACAGGTCTTGTATGAGGAGAGAGTCAGGTACCTGGGTCACAGGCTGTGAACGTAAGCACCAGAACCTTGAAACTGGCTTGGGAGCAATCTGGAAGCCAGATGCAGCTGTTTTACATAGTGGCTGATCTCGGTCAACAAGTGGGTTTCTGCATTTTTTTCTAGCTGATTCTTAACATCTTCACTACTAACAAGAACCCCTGTTCTATCTGTTTCAAAGAAAATTCCGGAGCAAAGTGTCATTCTCTTCCATGCCTGTGCTCATAATCCAACTGGTGTAGACCCTCGGCCAGAGCAGTGGAAGGAGCTGGCGGCCGTAGTGAAGGTAAGGCCAGAGACCGGCTTGCTGGCTTGGTTCTTTATATGCAGTCTTGGTGCGTCGGAGGGGGGGCACATTTGTAGCAGGGCTGCTCCTTGACAAATATCTCTAAATACGCTTGGCCTTTAATATTCTGCTATCACTGGCGTCTTTCTTTTGCTATTGGAATTGCAAGGAACTGAAATATTGTTACCCAAAGAGGTGGTCTCCTAATGAATTGGGGGAATTAGCTTAAGGAGACAGAGTGAGTGGGGGTAACTGGGATTGTCCACCAGTGTTTATGAGGATTTTTCCCCATATGAAATAAACCAAGCAGGTGTTCATTTGAAGAAGAAGGAGAAGAGATTGAAACTCTTTTCCCTTCCCCTCCCCACAACAGACACCCTGTGAGGTAGGTGGGGCTGAGAGAGCTCTTTCCAGAACTGTCCTTGAGAGAGCAGCTACTGCTTGCCCAAGGTCATCCAGCAGCTGCAAGTGGAGGATTGGGGACTCAAACCTGGTTCTCCCAGATTAGAGTCTGCACACTTAACCACTACACCAAACTGGCTCTGGAAAGGTTTTTATTAACAAGACAAAGAATAAAACAAAATCCACACAATAAATACACATGCAAGAGGTAGCTAAATCAGGGAGGAAAGGGGAGAGAGATTTCAGGGAGGATGATAATTACCATTCTTGGAGAGGTCCATGGAAGCAGCAAAACAACCAATGTTTTGTAAAGAGAGAAGAGTGCCCAGAAAAATGGGTGTGTGTGCAGAGGATCCAAGACACACGCACACTCCTGGGGAGCAAACTGCCTTCTGATATAGGGCAAAATGAAAAATATGATGTGTTTGCCAGAAAAACAGTAACTTAATGGGCTTTTCTGAGTTGGATGAAAAGATATGAGAAGCTTGATGGGTTTTTCTGAGGCGAACTATAGGGGTGAACAGAGCTTGATGACCCTGCAAGTATGAGATGGGAAAAACAACTAGGTTTGGTAAAATAGTAAAAAGGCCAGTAGCACCTTTAAGACTAACAAACTTTATTGTAGCATAAGCTTTCTAGAATAAAGTTTGTTAGTCTTAAAGGTGCTACTGGACTTTTTACTGTTTCACAGTAACAACCAACATGGCTAACTCCTCTGGATCTAGGAAAGTGAATAGACTTTAAGTGTTGCTTAATTAAGGTAAATGGGTGCAAGGAAGTGAGACTAGGTGTTGAAGAGATTAGTCCAAGGCGAGTCAATAGGTTCTTGGGCATCCTAAATTATGCATCTCTCCGGGGCATGCATGGAGGTCATTAGCTAGCCAGCCGCTCTCACGTACACCTCTAAACTATATGTCCAGGCTTGTTTCTGACAGGCATCCATTTTGTGTCATTTTGGGCCAGGCAGGTATGATTTTTGAGATGTTTTAAGAAGGGTGTTTGTGGTTATTCTCGCTGTAAACTGCCCCTTAGCAAGAGGAGGGGGTCTGACTGCTAACCCTTATAGCCTTCTGTACATTTCATCTAAGTTCAGTGGAATGGAGAATGCCTAAGAATTGTGGCAGCTGATACCTTCTCAAATGCCTATTGTTGGTTCAGCAATCCTACAGGGACACTTCCACATAGGATTACTGGGTGTTTTTTTTTTGGGGGGGGGAATTAATGAGCTTGTTCCTCACCACTCCCAACAACATTCCTGAATTGGATGGGGGAAACGTCTAAACTGAAGAATGATTATTTCTAAAAAGAATTCCTTCTTTTTCAAACTTCAGTCCTCAACTTATCATTTTAATGGGATTCCCCCAGAAGGTTACTGTGAGTGTGTAGGGTGAGGAACAAGCTCATCCCCTCCCCCCCCCCAAATAAAAAACAACCCAACCTTCTAGCCTTATGGGAAAATATCCCATTAAAATGACTAAGCTGCAAATTGAAAAGGGAGACGTTTTCAGTACCCTTGGGCTTCTGTTGAGAGGTTCTAAATAGATGTGCCTCTCCCAGCTGCTCTTGAGAGAAGAGAGCAGAAGAGCAAGTTCCAACAAACTGTGTGAAAGAGTTGGTTGAGGACTGAGCTTTGAGGGTCTGGGTTCGAGAGAGTTCCAGTCATTAACTTAGGAAGTTTCTCCCTAGGGCTGCTTTTGAAGTGAGGGGAAAGGGGGAGAGAACACCAGGAGCCTTCATCAAGCCACTCCCCCTTGAGGGTTACTGTTGGAAACCAGCCTTTGAAAACTTCTTCGATTTTCAAGGTGGTTCCCTTGTCATCCCATCTTTGGCTTGGCAGTTTTTAATTGGACACTTTCACCACCCAGCAGCAGAAGTGTAGATTGGCTTGGGAGTCTCCTGGCCTTGATGCAGCCCTCAGCAAGAGTCCTAGCATGTGGGGAAATTGCTCCCCCCTTCCTCACTAACAGCAGCCTTTCGTCTCTGTTACCTTGTAGGCTAAAAGGATGCTGCTTGCCTCCAAACTGGCAGGGGCCTGCCTGGGTGCTGGCATCTTCCTTCTCCTTCTGCGGTTGTATTGCAAATAAAATTGGACAGAATTTATATGCTGCCTTTCTGCCTTCATCAGGGCCACCAAGGTGGCTAACGGATTAAAAGCATACCTAGTAAAAACATATCTTAAAACCTATTAAAACCAAACGAAAATGCATCATTAAAATGAGCTAAAATGCACGTATAAAACCATTAAAACAATTATAATGTAGGACAGGAATGAAGGATCACCCCCAGACAAAAAAAAAGTCTTGACCCCCGACAGAAGATGGCAACAGAAGGGGACAGGCAAGTCTCTGGGAGGGAGTTTCAGAATTTTGGTGCCATGACCAAGATGGCCCTCGCCTAGGTTGGCACCCACCTAATCTCAGGTGGAGGCATCTGAAGCAGGGCGTCGGAAGATTACCGTGGCAGTCAGGTAGGTTGTAAGAGAGCAGACAGTCCTTCAGGTATGCTTGCATCCTTTACTGTATACATGAAGGTTTTGTCTAGGCAGAAACATCTGCATATCCCATTGATCTGTTTTCACTATTCACAACATGCAGTGCAGCAAGTCACTGCTCTTGTAAGGGTGTAATGCGCAGGGTACAACCAGCAATAATTTTGCCAAGTAGGGCGGCTTCAGGAGGCTGCAGAGTAGGCAGGCTTGTGTACTGTAAGTTTTCTTGCACAGTGGGGAAGAGACTGAGGACATTCAGGATGACCTGAGTCTGAGTCTCTCTCCTGGGCAGTGAGCTTGTTGGGAAACATTAGGCAAGCCCGTCTATAACAGAGGGGTAACTATTGCAGGATCATTGTAAGAAGTATGAGAATGTGCGTAGGATATTTTTAAAACACACTTGATGTACTGTCAAAATGTTGGGCATTATTGCTCGTGGGGAGCCACCTCCAGTTCAGCAGCCACTTGTCTGCTTCTCCCATTGGGGATCATGGAGGGGTTGCGTTCTCTGGTGGGTGGGGGGAGACGGTGCAAACTAGTGGTGAAATTTTCAAGCACACATTGGAAAACAGAGTTGGTAGGTTATTCTTTACCTAAGAATCCCCCAGCAAGTGCAAATTAACCAAAAGCTCTCTACTTCCCAAGAAAGGGATAGGATGTGATTGGGCATTCTTTTTTTTCTTTTTTTGAGCCCCCGGAGGGGATTTTTTATTATTTTTTATTACTACAAAAACTACAACAGAAGAAAAGGGAGGGGAAACTACATATACGGGATAAAGTAAAGAACCCACTACTAACTAAAAGCCCAAGAGAGGAGATCCTCCAACTAGCTTAGTTACATCAAGTCTTCCCATCATTGATCCCTTTATAAACTGTCAAACATTTATAACACTTTTCCTTTAAAGCTTAGATTTAACTGCCTAGAAACAGTACCCCCGATCATCACATAACAACAGTCTCAAAGGCACAATTCAGAGTCCTTCAGCCTTTACTTCTCCTTTCCCCTTCTCTTCCGCAACTTGTAAGGACTTTTTGGGGTTGCTGCCCCTTGCTCTGACAGAGAGTCCTCTCCGGAAGAACCAGAGTTTAGCTCGCCACTGGACTTGCTGTCCTCTGAGAGCCAGTTTGGTGTATGAGAGCCAGTTTGGTGTAGTGGTTAAGTGTGTGGACTCTAATCTGGGAGAACCGGGTTTGATTCCCCACTCCTCCACTTGCACCTGCTGATGTGACCATGGGTCAGTCACAAGATCTGGCACAGCTGTCCTTGAAAAAGAGCAGTTTGTGTCACGAGTTCTCTCAGCCCCACCCACCTCACAGGGTGTCTGTTGTGGGGAGGGGAAGGGAAAGGAGTTTGTAAGCCGCTCTGAGACTCCAAGTGAAGGGCGGGGTATAAATCCAATCTCTTCTTCTTCTTCTCTTCTTTTTTTCCCGTCCTCTGGCCTTCCCAGCTAAACCCTTAGAAATTCTTGAGCTTTCTGAACAGAGTCAATCTTTTCTTTTTTATCTTCAATCTTGAAAGTAACGCCTTCTGGAAATAGCCATTTATATCCAATTCAGTTTGTCTGAAGAAAAAGCACAAGTTCTTTGTACTTCTTTCTCCGTTGTCTTACTTCAAATGGAATATCCTTTAGTGTTCTGATGGTATTCCCCCCCGCTTTCAGGGGTGTTCCAGCAACCACTTTCAGGATTGCATCCCTCACATGCCTCTTCGAGAATCTTACCACAATTTCCCCAGGCAGATTATTTTTCTTTATGTAGCCTGAATATGATCTGTAGACCACATCCATATCGTTAAGCAGCGATTCCACCTTCATTTCTGTCACTGGGGCTAGTAGTTCACTCATCACTTCTTTAAGATTCTCCCCTCTGTTCTCTGGCATGCCCTGGAAACGAAGTATCATGTTGGCCTTTTCCATTTGGACTCGCAACAGTTGATCTTCCATAGAGGTTTGTTTCCTTTCCAGCGTTTGCACTTTCTTCTTTACCTTTTGTGTAGTTACAGCCACTTCCTTTACCTTTTCAGCATCTTGCTTCATTATTTGTATCAAATCGTTTATCTGGGTTTGTTGTGCAGTAATGCTTTGAGTGATTATAGACATCTGTTCCTTGAAGTTATTCAGCTGTTCCAGCAGAGGGCGCATATAATCCGCTATAGACTTTGCCACCTCACTGGTAACTTCCGGTTTTGGGCTCTCAGACCCTTTCGCTTTCAAAAGTTTTTCTCTGTCCTTCTTCCCCGCCATCTTTATCGTTGGTTTACTTTCGTGAATTTTTTAAGTCTCTGAATGTGTGTTTGACCACTTAGATTCGCTTTGGTAAGTACTTCTAGGCAGTTTCCCACGCATTTTCTTCCACTCCCCCCCTCAATCGCTCAAAAGTTCGTGCACATGGGAGGCGTCCCTCCCCCGCTCTCCCCCCCCATTCTGTGGAGTGGGGTGGGGAGCTATCTTTCCCCCTTTAAACGCTTCGGAATTGACTCACATTCATAATTGGTCGTTCGACCTCACTTTCATTCCATTTCTGCCACACGATCTCCTGCGCTTGTCCCGGTCAGTGTCACTAAGTCCATATGGTCTCACAGCACGGAGAACCGTCGGAATGAAGAGGCGCCTCAATTCTCGGGCATTCCACCATCGAAGAGGCGACCTCTTGAAAGTTCCATGGCCAGGGTCCCTTCGCCGGGCCCCTGGGGGGGGGTTGCGAGCCTGCACACCCCCTTCTTCAGCTGGAGCACAGCTTCACCCCCGGGAGGTCTGGGAGGTGAGTCTGCTAGCGTGCCTCCATAAACCGGAACGTGATTGGGCATTCTTGATGACTGTCCTGAGTTGGCATCTTTGCGGGTGAGTTTATGGCAGAGTTCATCCTGATGTGTTGGATTTTCAGGGAGCTGAGCAGGAGCTCAGGATGGGCTTTTGCTGGACTTCTCTCTGTGTGAGCTACAGTTTCTGCAGTTTTTCTTTTGTGTGTGTGTGCTTGGGCAGCTATCTCCCTGCTTTGCCAGAAAAGTAGACCTGTGTTGTTGATCAAATAGTAGACCTGTCTTTTCCTTCTTACTTTTCTGACAACTTGTGCAATGTTCGTTTTACTCCAGATGCTTGTTAGTCTGGGCTTTTAGCCATCCGTATCTGTTTAGTATTTTGGTTTAACAATGGGGCCAGGCAGTTATCTGTGAGCAGCTCTGTATCTGTCCAGTGACTCTTCATTCTGACCTTGGAATATCATAAGGATAAATCAGAGTATTTTTTACTGCACTGCAAAATAACAAACATAGCTATCTATCTAATATCGTCCTATTGGGATGCTTCCCATGCTGCCTCATTCACCGGGGAGCATCTGTTTCAGAATCCTGGCACTTTGCAGAGAATTATGGGGTGTATGCATGAGTGTAGTTCAGTTTGCATGAAGAGCTGGCACTCAAAGACAAGTCAAACAAGCCCTTTTTGAACACAGCTGTCTCGGCACGAGGCATATTAGGTAGCAGGCACAGTAGGCTATACATTTGTTTCTGTATGTACCCTGCTTTTCTCCCCATTGGGAACCCAAATAGGCTTACAGCATCATTCTCCTCCTCTGTCTCCTCCTCACAACAGTCCTGTGAAGAATGTCATGTGGAGCGAGATTGTGACTAGCTCAAGATCAACAGCCTTCCATGGCAGACTGGGGATTTCAACCTGGGTCTCCCAGATCCCCATCAGACAGTAACAGGATCCTTCGAGGATCCTGAGAACTTGCTGTTTTTAAGAAAACTGATAAGATGTCCTCTGCTCTCTTCCAGAAAAGGAACCTCTTTGCCTTTTTTGACATGGCATATCAAGGCTTTGCTAGTGGGGATATAAACAGAGATTCCTGGGCTGTCCGCCACTTCATTGAGCAAGGCATTAACGTTGTGCTGTCCCAGTCGTATGCGAAAAACATGGGCCTGTATGGTAAGTTTAGACGAGCTATGTTGCTTTCCAGGGGATGGAGTGTGAGGTGCATGTGGGACCAGGAGTGAAAGTTTGACTGGGTTGACTGAAAACACAACCTTGCATCTTAGAGGTGCCACCAGATTAGAAATGGAAGAATGGTGGCAAGATGGATTTTCATGAAGCTAAAGAATGAGAAAGCGAGTGAGGGTCTCCATGTCCAGTTGTTGAGACCTTGCTATGATCAGAGCTCTTGTGGCAGATAACACACTTTCTGTAATCTGCTGGCTACAGGCCTCTGGCCATTTTAGCTACCTGGAAATGCCATCCCCCTGTTTCTCGAAATCTTCCCACCTGGCACTCCATGACCTCTTGAGAGCTTGGGCAGATTCATGTCTCCTCCCCCTCCCCTTCTTGTTTAACTGACTCTGATCTGCTCTCTATGTTCCTTGCCTCCTGGAAGATGCTCAGTTCTCATCAGACCATGTTGTGTGAGAGGTGCTTTGTAAATTAACCAGAAATCATATTAGTTGGGGAGTCCCTGGCCAGTTGGTAGAGATCCTGCCCTTTTCCGGGGGTGCTGCGGTATTCCTATGCCTGTGAGTGGCCTGGGGGCTAGTAACTTTCCTCTGGGGAATCACTGGGGAGAAGAAGAAAAGTTTGTTTTTATATCCTGCTTTTCTCTACCCCATGGAGTCTCAAAGTGGCTTACAATTGCCTTTCCCTTCCTCTCCCCACAACAGGCACCTTATGAGCAGTGTTCCCTCTAAGCTGAGTTAGTGTGAGCTAGCTCACAGTTTTTTAGCCTCTGGTTCACACATTTGTGTCTTAGCTCAGGAAGGATGGCTCCAGAGCAAACTAGTTTATGCAGTAGCCACATCATTCGCTCACAACTTTAATGCTAGTAACTCATAAAATAGGTTTTTTGCTCCCAAGACTCCATAGCTTAGAGGGAGCATTGCTTATGAGGTAAGTGGGGCTGAGAGAGTTCTGAGAGAACTGTGACTGGCCCAAGGTCACCCAGCAGGCTTCATGCGGAGGAGGAGGTGAGGAATCAAACCCAGTGCTCCAGATTAGAGTCTGCTTCTCTTAACCACTACACCATGTTGGTGGGAAAACTTCCGTCAGTGTGCCCCCTTGCCCTTTGGCTGAAGGGAAGCTGGCTCTTTGGTATCTCTCATGGTTCCTCCTTTCTCATCCCTCCCAGCTGTGCATCTTAGGCTGTAAGTGGAGTGAGCCCCACTAAATCTAATGAGACTCATTCCCCAGGCAAGCCCATCTCCCTTGCTGGAGGCTAGACATCCTCTAGCTTCTTCTGTGTCCAGGCACCCTTCTGCCTCGGGTGGGGGGCATCCCTCAGAGTCTGGGAGTGGACTGCTTTGTACAGCCTGTATATTTCGTGTGTGTGGAGTGGTGCCTGTGGTTGTCCCTGTTGTGTGGGCTTCCTCCAGCCAGTTAGTTATTATATTTTGTGACAATGTTGTCCAGTCCAGTTACACCGAAATGCTACATGTGTGGGTCTCCTTCAGAACTGTATCTTTGGGGGCTCAGGACTAAGGTGGCATCTGAGTTGTTGCGGGCGGATTGGATGCCATAAGTGGGGCAGAAGGCCAGAGGTCCCTTTTTGTCTGCTAGGATCTGTGTCTGTTGTTAATTTGGGGGGAAAGTAAGCTGCCTCAAGCAAGTTCTCTAGGCAGTCGACTTTGGCAGAGTAAAACTTCATAAAAACCTATCATGAACAACTAATATAGCATTTTAAAACCCAGGTCTGAATTATTCTTTAACGTCGTGAGGATAAAATCTTGATCTTAAAGAAAGAACTGCAGAGATCCTGAGGATCATGTAACACTCTTCCTTCCTATGCTGCATGGTTTCTATGCTACGTGATCCAGTCACACTTCTGTGACTCTTCAGTCTCTGTCTTCCAAAGAAAGAGCTGATTCCTGTCCAGGGGTTGAGGAGTATATTGCATCTCCTTCAGGCAACCAATACAAGAACTCGTGGGCACTCAATGAAATTGCTGAGTAGTCGGGTTAGAATAGATAAAAGGAAGTACTTCTTCACCCAAAGAGTGATTAACACATAGAATTCACTGCCACAGGAGGTGGTGGCAGCTACAAGCATGGACAGCTTCAAGAGGGAATTAGATAAGCATATGGAGCAGAAGTCAATCAGTGGCTATTAGTCACAAGGTATAGATTGGAACTCTCAGGCTGGGGCAAGTGATGCACTGTATTCTTGGTGCTTGGGGGGGGGCAACAGTGGGAGGGCTTCTAGTGTCCTGGCCCCACTGCTGGACCTCCTGATGGCACCTGGTATTTTTGGCCACTGTGTGACAGAGTGTTGGACTAGATGGGCCATTGGCCTGATCCAACATTGGCTTCTCTTATGTTCTTAAGGGTCAGAACTGATGAGTGAGCAGGAGTGGGGTGGACAAAAGGTGATTGGGTTAGTTCAGGGAGGTCTCTGCTGAAGTAGAGGATCTAAACATTTGCTCTGGGCATATAAGGGTCAGCATGGCAGAACCACTGTGGGCAAGCCCACCTGTGCAGGTTCATGTGTACACACACACACCTCCTCCTCTTGCTAACAACATGCTTTCTCGATCCTCACTTTCTAGGGGAGCGCGTGGGTGCCTTCACTGTAGTTTGCAAGGATACCGAGGAGGCCAAGCGAGTGGAGTCCCAGCTAAAGATTCTGATCCGCCCCATGTACTCCAACCCTCCCCTCCATGGGGCTAGGATTGCCTCTACTATTCTCACCAGCCCCGACTTGCGAAAGGAATGGTAAGGTCCTCTCCTCATCCTCCCAGAGTTCTGGTTGCGTGCCATGGTAGACAAAGTCCCTGGTGGGCTTCAAGAGAAATGGACTAGGGAGCTGCAGTGGCGAAAAGTGAAGCCAGTTGCCAGCAAGCCAAGCCTGTTTGGCCTTAGTCTTGCGTGACACCAAACTCAGCCTGGGGATTAGTAGTGCTGCAGCTTTTCTTTGCTCTGGCACTTGGCTGTTTTTCCCTGGGGTTGTGAGGGGCTTGGATCTCCGCAAGCCAATGGATGTGGTGGGTGAAACCAGGTTCCACCTTTTGTAGCAAGCTTGGTGTATGCCATGCCTTCATCAAGCTTTTCTGGGGATAACAAATTAGGTGCATGTTGGATACTTCTCACTTTCATTTTGGCATCTCAGGCAAGTAAATATTTAAGTATTTATACCCTGCTTTTCTCCCCACTGGAGGACCCAAAGCCACTTACAACGTTGCTCTCCCCTCCAAGCAGGGCCTCTTGGTGGGGGGGGGGGGGGAGTCGCTGCCCTGCATATAGGCAAGATCAGCCACTGCCCATATAAGTGCATTTTCTGTTGTGGCCCTCACCTGGTGGAATGGTCTGCCTGAGGAGGTCAGGAAAGCTCCTGCACTTCTGTCACTGCAAACTACGTAAAACAGAATTTGTTCAGGGGGGCACTTCTATCAGGGCAACAGGGCTATATTGCAACAGAACAGTCCAAGAAGGTGCAATGGTCTGCATTACTGGTTTGCTGTACATATTATCCTTCTCCCAACCACACTGTCTTCTACTTACGTAGTACCTTTTTCTGTATTTCACATTTCTAAATATTTGCTTTATTTCAAACTTCTGTAATCGTTGTCTGATTGTGTTGTTTATCAGATGACCAATTCTGTTGCTTGTATTGATTTTTACACTGTGCGATCTGTCTTGATTCTTGGTGAGAAAGGCAGACTATAAAGTAAATAAAATAAATAAGTAGTCCTGCAATCCTAACTAGAGTTGCACCCTTCTAGTCCGCCAACAGGGCCTGTCTGGACTCTGGAGGGAGTCAAATGGGGAGGCTACCTCGATGCTCCTTCCCTCTTTGGTCGAACCTCTGGCATTTTTCTCTCTCTGCCTGATCTCAGTATGTCTGCTTCCCTGGCACAGGCTGCAAGAAGTGAAGGGGATGGCTGATCGGATCATTGGCATGCGTTCTCAGCTGGTGGCAAATCTGAAAAAAGAAGGCTCCTCTCATAACTGGCAACACATCACCGACCAGATTGGCATGTTCTGCTTCACAGGCCTGAAACCTGAACAGGTAAGTGAGGGACCCAATTGTGATGTGTGATAAAATGGGTAGAAAAAGGTATCCTTTGCACCCCACCCCCAGCAAACCTGTCCCAAAAGGGTTTTTTTGTTTTGGGATTCCCCCCCCCCCCCCTCCAATGGGCCAACTAAACTTTATGTGAAACAGTGCCACTCCTTATTATACTTGATTTTGAACCTTGGACTAATAGGATATCAAAAGTTAAAGTAGGAAGTTTCATCATGTATACCTGGAGGTGCAAAGTACAGGTGCATGCTATAGTGGTTAGAGTGTCAGGCTGGGATCTGGGAGACCCAGGATCAAATCCCCATTCTGCTATCAAAGCTTGCTGGGTGACTCCTCGCCTTATGTATTTGTTCTCCCTCTACCTAAACTACCTCACTGGGTTGTTATTGGGAGGATAAACTGAAGAGAGGGGAGAGTGAAGTTGTGAGTCCCTCTGGGTCTCCATTGGGGGAGAAAATACTACTCTGGAAATGAGACCACATCTAGCCAAGCAGAGCAGGTGAACGTCTTAATCATAAATAATGGCTTGTGAGCTACAGAAGGTCAAAAGAAAAGAGTGGCTATACTTGCTGTTTAGTGGGCCAGAGCCCCGTGGCAGCAGAGTTGGCTGCTGTTTCTTTGTAAGGTATCATTTGAAGCTTGGTTCTGCTCTGGAAGGGAGTTGCTCCATGGTACATTGCCTCTTTGGATCATGCCTTGAATGGCAAAGCAAGCCTGGCAAAGTGGCTTGATTCAGAATGGTTCCAAAGAATGGTCTGGTTTGCTTTTCAGGTGGAGCGGCTAACCAAGGAGTTCTCCATCTACATGACCAAGGATGGACGCATCTCAGTCGCAGGCGTGACATCTGGCAATGTGGCTTATCTGGCCCATGCCATTCACCAAGTCTCCAAGTAAACCAAGAGTTGAGTCGAGTTGGATCAGATAGCCTTCTCTTCCACCTTCTTTGGACAGTTGAACATCAGAGAATGGGGGGGGGGGAGACACAGAATGGCTTTCCCCCCCAATGGCACTCAAACGTCACTGAATGTATTTCTGTAGAGGTCTTGTCCTCTCTCCCATTCCCGCCAGTGTTGCTTGGCTCTAGGCAGAGCTGTTGATTTGTGTTCTGCTCCTCTTTTCCAAAGAAATTCATCTGTGTGTTAACCAAAAATGGATCCTTCCTTGCTTTTAGAGGTTGTAGGGGAACCACTGGAAATACATCTGGCTTGATTGACCCGCTACCAAACATGGATGGGGGTGTGGCTACTTCAACTCCTGTTGCATTTTGGTCTGTCTTTCCCTGAGCTTTCCTCGTCCCATGAAACACGTACTGTAATTTGGAAGCTCTCCTCTTCTCAAAGAACAAAAGACTACAAAGGCTTGTGCTTCACAGGAGCTTTTTCTCCTGGGCATTTTGGAAAGCCGTTGAATCTTCCGATTCCCTTTCTTTCAAGGCAGGCAAGGGCCCTCGATCCCCCCAGTGGCTGCTACTAGGCAGGTGCATTTCTGGGTGATGACCATGAAAAGGCTGCAGCCTATAGCCTTCAGCTCACCCATGTCTGTAGCCTTCCTCCAACAGAAGAATGATGCACATTGGCAGAAAGCTCCTGAGGCTAGAGTGAGGCTCCAGATGTAGCTGAAGGGAGTGGTAGGATAGAAGCCAAGAGTCCCTGTACAGTTATCTTTGGCCTGAGCAATGGCAGCAAATCAAGTCTGGAAGGGAAACTGTGTGTCACATGGGCTTTAACCTCTGTTTTGGAAAGCCTTGTGGAATCCTTTCTCATCTGGAGGAGGGACTTGGGTTTTTTGCTAGAATCAGTTCAGAGTGCCAGTTCAAGCTTGCTCTTTCCAGTCTCTGCCTATCTCCCACCTGGTGTGGAGTCTTTAGAAGTGTGATATATTTGGCAGCCCTTGGTATCTGGGCCTGAGTATGGCACAGCACAACTTCCCAGAGCTGAAGCCTGGGGACTGGCTACACCTTCTTTCCTTGAGGGCTGGGGCAAGCCTCTTCCTTTTCAATCCTGCGCTAAAGAGAACTTGTTCAGGAGTTTGCACCCTTCCTTGAGCTTGGAGGGAGGGAACCCTCTTTCCCATTCAGTTTCCTTGCCACTTGTATAGTGCAGTGTTGCTCCTTTTAAAATTGTGCCTTGTCTATGTGGGAGGTCACATTGGGACCTCATCCTACTTTGGGGGGCTGCTGCCACTTCAGTCCAGAGAGAGAACAGAGGGCTGTAAGCTTTCACAGCTCCAGACTTCCCAAATAACCCCACAGCAATAATTCCTAGACACCTGAGGCACAGTATTAGCTATTTCTCTTTTGCTCCCGCAAGCCTAGTGCCCTCAAGAGATCCAGCGCACCAACCTCTGTGGTTTTTAAGGTTACTGACATCAGAGGGCAGGTCCTACTGTCCATCTTTGGCTGTGGGGAGGACTTATATACCTATTTGTTTTGAAAAGAACGTGGGAAACATCCCTGAGACACTTTCTAGGTGAAGGAGAAGTAGGTGTACCCCAGGAGAGACAGGCTGAAATCTCTGCCTCTCTCCAAAAACAAGACGGCCAGTTCGGTTTCTGGAAATTCAATCCCTCTTTTCATTCTCTAAATTTCCCACCAGCCTGTTGCTTTCCATGGCAGATCTGCCCTTGCGTGGTAAGTGCGGATACTGTGCAACTTCTGCTTTTGTTTTTTTCAATTTGATTTTCACCCTGGGCTTTCTGGTCTGCCAAATCTTGTGGCTCCATCTGTGATGACTGAGTGCCAAAGTGTACATCTCGCATGGGAAAGTGTGCAGAAGTACCACAATTTGGTCCTGCAGCCTGAACGAGAAGGTCATCTTGGCCTTGCTTCTGCCGGCTAGAGCAAGATGTGTGCTCTCAGCTGGAATGAGAACTCCTCTTTGAGGAAGCACCCTTGGGACGGTTTCTTGAAAGTTGAATGAGTTAGACAGACCATTTCTCCCCAACCCTTCTTATTTATCAGTCTCCAGCCTATCTGTCTGCCAGAGGCTGTAATGGTAGCACAAAAATGGGGTATCGCCTGCTGGTCAAACCAGTATCGCAGTTTGCTGCATCTATTGCTTGTTTCCTTGAGGTCAGTAACAGAATGTTCCTTTTGAGTGCTGAAAATGGTATTACTATTAGAAAGACTAGAGGCCCCTTCTTATCAGAGGGAGAAGACGACGGTGCAGTAGTTGTGGAGGCAGCCAGTGCATTCAGCACCTGTCTTTTAAACATGCTTTGGCAGAACTACCAAGCTTTCCAAATCCTCTGTGTTGCTGCTGCTTTTCTCAGAGGGGTTAAGAGGAGGGTGGTCATTTCCATGCCGTGGTTCTAGGCTGCCTTTTAGCTGTCTGATTCCTGCCCTTGCCTCCTTTCCTTTTTCCAGAAGAATCTTCTGCCGTTCAGTATAAATCATGTAGGCCTTTATACAGCCTATTTGTTTCACAAATAATAAAACTGCTGTTCATCTGACTTGATGATGCCTTTTTCTTAGGCTTGCTAGCTCGAAGAAAATGGAGAGCATACTCCATCCGGTACCGTTGCGTTTTGGTTTACTGTGTCACATTAGATCAAGACAATTCAAGTTTTCACATCTGTCTGTCTTCATGCAGGTAGGTAGGTAGGACAATGCAGGTAGATAGGACAAGTCCTCCTGCAGAGGTGGGTTTGAGAATAAACCAGGGCTGCTTCCTCTTCAAAATAAAAGTCCAGTGGCACCTTAAAGTATATCTAACAGGATTTATTTCAGCATGAGTCACAAGTCCCTTCCCCTGGCTAACCTGGCCGATATGCCCAGTTTTGCTGGCTCTGAGAACAATGCTTATCCTGGCTGCAGCTTTAAGCAGAATCTTCCCAATGGCTGCCACTGTGCAGTGTTCCTCCTTGTGTTACCTCAAATGGTTTGTGTTGCCCAAAAGGGCTGTCTCCTGTTTTTGTTGGGGAATTAGTAAAGGAGACAAAATGGCTTTTGCAAGAGGGAGGTAACTAGCAGGAATCTTCACCTTTGTTCTATGAGGATTTTTCGTTTAGGAGAACTCTCGATAATCAGATAGTTGCTTAACCAAAACGGTTGTTTTTATTAAACAGCAGAAAATCCTAATAAAATGCACACATACCGAAAAAAACACATTAAATCATACACACAAGTAATGGAAGTTCACAGGTGAGCGGGAATAATAGGAGGGTGTTGGGGAACATCAACTCTACATCTGTGTTCTGAAACTTATCCCTCTCATTCATACATGACAGCCCTTCCTGCATTTGCCCAACAGAGCTCAAGTTCACAGAAGCTTCTGCCACCTTAAATAGGTTCATCTTTAAACTATGGGTTCATCTTTGTTTTTCAGCAGCAGACTAAAATGTTTTCCCTCCCCTTTCTAGAATTGGGCAGTAGTGCCAAGGGGTTCAACTGCTCAGAGTGATGTAACAGAAACTTCTGTTCTGCAGAGCAGCTGTGGTGTAGTGATTAAAAAATGGTGGGCTCTAGTCTGGAGGAATGGGGTTTGATTCCCCACTCCTTTACATGCAGCCAGCTGGGTGGCCTTGGGCCAGTCACAGTTCTCTCAGAGCTCTCTTGGCCCCACCTACCTCACAAGGTGTCTGTTGTGGGGAGAGGAAGGGAAGGTGATTGCAAGCCCCTCTGAAACTCCTTCGGGTAGTGAAAAGTGGGGTATAAAACCAACTCTTCTTTTTGCCCAGGATGCCATCAGTTGTCCCTCATTAGAATGTACATCAGAAACTCTTAGCAGCTTTTGGTCAATCACACTCCAGTATGACCAAGAGATAAAAGACAATACAAAGGGGAGGAGCAACACAAAGCAAGGGATAGGCCTCCTTCCAGTCCCATCCCAACCTGCTTCATAGTGCCTGTACAGGATTTACCCACCCAAGCCAGTCCAGGGATGGGCGGGAATCTTGTACTTTTACAGTACATTAAACCAGCGTTTTTCAACCACTGTGCCGTGAGATATTGTCTGGTGTGCCGTGGGAAAAATTCCAATTTCATCCGTAACATGCGGCTTCGGCTCACAAAAAATGACCAATCATTAGATTCTAATCATTAGAATGTTACGGACTATAAATGGCTCCGGTGTCACTGTTACACTGACATGAGGAGACATCGCAGTAGATCGCCGATGCGCAGAAGAGCGCCGATGGATCTGGACTCTGGAGGATTATCGCGGACGCAGCACAGAAGAGCGCTGAGTGATGGATCTGGAGGAGACATGAGCAGAAGAGCGCTGACTGAGCGGCTATTTGGAGGAGACAAGCGCAGTAAGTACTGAGTGACAGTGAGACAGGAGCAGATACTGCAGTGATGGACAAGTTTTTGAAAAGGAAAGAACTGGACTCTGAACAAAATTCGGAGCCAGATGAGAGCCCAAGTATGAGTGGGGATCAAAAGAAAGCAAAGATGGTTACCTCAAGCAAATTCTCTGGCACAAGGCAATATAGCGAAAGCTATATTTCATTTGGATTTACTTTCACCGGAGATGCAAAGAAACCAACTCCACTGTGCGTGGTGGCTTAAACGCCATCTCCAAATGAAACACCCTTCGCTTCAAAACAAGAATGCGGACTTTTTTGTTCGCCTGCGTGAAAACACGGAGAAACA